TTTTTGTTAAGTTCACATCATTTTCCTTAGGAAAGAGACAGTTACACAAACATTTAACAAATTATTTCAATATTAGGATCATTTTCAATTCAATTTGTTTGGTAAAAAAATCGATGCAATGTTAGGAAAATTCGGTTGCATTTTTAGGAAAAATTGATGATTTTTTTATTTGGTTTTAAAAAAATATTCGGAACAATTTGTTTGTTAAAAAAAATCGGTTTATTGGTAGAAAAATCAGTTTTATTTTCAGGAGTAACTAATGATTCTTTCAATTTTTCTTAACTAAAATTTAGAATTAGATTTAAAATAAATAATGGGTGAAAATCCTAAAACTTTTTACTTTTTTTTTCTACTATAATTTTGTTTAATAAATAAGATCCGTTAATTTTAAAAAAAAAAAATTGTTAATTAATAACTAATAATATGCAATAGATAAAATTCAAACATCTATGTAGTACTTTACGTGCCAAAGAATCAAATCAATAATTTTGTATATAAGGAAGTGTTCCTGTGCATCGCACGGGCACCCTACTAGTTTAATATATATATATTAAATTAAATAGTATAACGGATTGACCCGCTTGACAATTACTATCGTCTCAATATTCATTAATTTGTATTTAGAGATTGAAGATATTTTTCAATATTTGTGTTTGTTTTGAAATTTATTTCTTTATTTTTTATTAAATTTATATTTAATTTCCTCTTCTAATATATTATTGACCTATTTTATTTATCCTTATCTTCTCCACCTTCACACTTCCCAACCTCTTTGATGAGCTTTGTTCGAGAATCAGCCTTGTCCATTCCCATAATGGCATCCCCCTTTACTCATAGCTAAAAGTTCATTTACTTGTTTCATAACTTAATATATCTAGCTATACGGCTCTTTCGTGGAAGTTTTGTTTAATCTTTATTTTTTTCGGGTTGCTAACTCAACGACAGAGTACTCGAGTTTTAAGTGCGGCTAGAATGCTACGATCTCGTTACGGTGTCATCCCGTCAGGTGTTTTAACCGTTGAATAATATATGTTATCTAATTACATGTATATCCAATGACTAAAATATTTGATGGGATAATATTCGATCCTAACAGGACCGTAGCATTTTTCTAAAACCATGATTAATTAAGTAGCAATTTTAGATCTTTTGCCAGAGAAATGTAATAACAATAGAAAAGATACACAATCTTAAATCTTTTAGACAAAGGTTGCATTTAGGTCCTCTATCTTGTATGATCTCATCTATTGGTATTTCATTTTCTCATGTGAAAAGATAAATATTAATCATAATGTTACATATGAACAAATAGAATAGAGGATGATCAATATATGAAATGACAAATATTAAATTTTCGTATTTGAAATAAGAAAAATATGTATTAATTTGTATATACGTGCACAAAAATTGAATTTCTCTAATATCCAATGTCACTAAATAAAACCGTTAATGGGTCCCGCACTTGCCGTTAGCAGTTGCTCTTCCATTGTTTATTAATCTTCCTTTACATTTGGTCTAACTAAATCTTTCAACTGTTTTTCTTATTTTTTACAAAAAAAAAAAAAATTATATATATATATATATAAAACCAGTTAACAATTTGATATTATCAACCCTAATCCTCAATCCCGCCAAGATTTTATTCATGAACACCTCTTCTGGGTTTTATTTTTGGGAGGGATCAATTTTTTTTTTTCTTTTTTCTTTTTTGATCAGAGGATATATAAATAGTGGGAGATGTCGAATCTATACGGTGGGGATTTCAATCAGAAGATCGATTACATGTTTAAGGTCGTTTTAATAGGAGACTCGGCTGTCGGAAAATCCCAGCTGCTCGCCCGGTTTGCGCGTAACAAATTCAGCTCGGAATCTAAGGCCACGATTGGGGTCGAATTTCAAACCAAAACTCTCGTTATCGATCACAATACAGTCAAGGCACAAATTTGGGATACTGCAGGACAAGAAAGGTTAAAACTAATCTTCCTCTTGCCCTTTTCTTGTTTTGTGTTTTGTCCAATTTTTATTAGTTGTAATAGATGGTACATCTTTGAGTTGTTATGTTGTGTTTATGGTCATGCTATGCACATTGTACACTTATAAGCTATACAAAGTTCTTGAAATTAGGACTACATTAGCCAAATAAGTTGGTTAACATTTTTAGTTTGCTTTTCAAGAATAACTAGTACTAAATACCCATGTACAACATGAGTGTTGAATTAATGAATATATGTGTAAAGTTATTTATGTCTAATACCAAACCTAACTCCAGAGCAAAAATAATATAAAAACAATATCACGAAGCATAGAATTTTGCCATGTCAGCATCCGAAGCGTGAGAATCTGCCACCTAGGCTCAACACGTTTTGAATTAATATATAGGGAGGGATTGTCTTGTTTTCAATCACTATGGGCGTGATTGGATATGAATCCAACCGGTTTTAGTAGGATTAGTTGGTTAAAGTGGGTTATTTTTTATAAAGTTGATTAATTGGATAATTTTGAGTTTGTAATTAAATATGTGATGCAAAAGTATATATATATATATATATATATATATGTATATGATAGATATTATTGGAAGTGATTAGCAATTAAAATTATGTGAACTGATGAATAATGTATTAAATTTTTTATGAGGTGTGAGGATGATTGGTTAATATTATTTAATTATACAAATAGTATTGATGAGAATTGAGTTATATTTGATTATGAGTTTAGAAGATTGCTAACAAAATAACGTAATCAGTCAAATTCGATTATGCATCATATCCTGACGCGCAAATTTTTTCAAATTTGATTATGGATCTTGCTCCATGGTAGAATTGATGTTTTTTTTTTTTTTTTTT